GGCATGTGCAAGACGTAAAAGAATAAGCTGGAGAAAAAGGAGTGAAACATAGCAGGAGAGGGAGAGATAAATTAAAGGGGAGTGACGATTCTTCTTCTTAAATTTTTAAGTTTACTGGCATTTTGTTACTCTATTCGCGTTAAAAGGGCAAATTGATGTTGGAGAAGTTTCCCAAACAAGATGGGAGACAACGCATTAGAAGCACAAGTCTCGGGACAGTCTAGATTACTGGGCGTGTTTTTTTTTACTTCCGTCTGTCTTCCTGCTAGGGTTCTAAAACAAAAGGGAGGTACGACTCCTTCTACAATATATTCATAAAAATACAAATTAAGTAACTTATTTAACAATGATTTCAACTGAGTCCAGTTTTCAGAGTCCACTTCCATTTTTCGTTAAAACTAAAAACAAGAGGCAACCGGTCAAGTGGCACGATAGTTGCCTGCCGTTTGGGGCCGTCTGCTTGCGGATGTCGCCTTCACTCAGGACACTGTGAAAAAAATGTCCTGTTAATGCCGTTTTTTTGATTACCAATGTTGGCTGTTATGCAATTCACGGCGTTTGCTGTGAACTAGTTCACGGTGTTCGCTGTGATCTCGGTCAGTGTTCACTGTGATCTGGCCACAGTTAACGCCGTGAATTGGAGCCTGATTTGCAGTACTTCGGTGCTCAGCGGCGTCAAACTCAGTGTTTACTGTGGACCAGATCACAGTGAACACCGCGAACAAGATCACAGTGAATCGCGTGAGCAGATCACAATAACCTGTGAATACACCCTTATCATCTTACGTTGGTTTTTGTGCGTAATACGGTGATTTTCCATCGTAAGGTACGACCAACTTTCCCAAACCCGCATAAAACGCACGAATGTGAACGTAAGGTACGCAGGATTTTCAACGTATTACGCACGTTGTAAACGTAAGGTACGTTGGTTGCGATTGTAGTACGATGACATTTCAGCGTAATACGCATGTTTTGATTTCAGCGTATGTTACGTTCGCGTTACCATCGTAAGATATAAGTCTGTACTGCAGTGAAAACTGGTAATAAATAAAGGGGATTGACAGGACATTTTTTTTCAGTGGCAGGAGTTTTAACTGGTGCCCTGGCATCACTAACAAAATTAAGTGAGTTACTCCGTCCAGGGTGCTACTGCTGTTTACACAATGATTACACTATTTCGTGATAGATCTTCTCATCGATGCCTTTAAATTTTGGGGAATGTAGAGAAAAAGGGCCCCAATGCACCCCAAAACTTCATTGGGGGATGTTCGCATGAGCTTCACTGTGGATCTCCATTTGCCGTAAAAAAAGTTGGCGGGTAGTTTAAGTTCATGTTTGTCGACATGTTGGGCGTGGTAAGTGTCCTGTAACATATGCGAAAAGGGTTGCGGCGCCAGTAAAATGGGAAAATTCTTAAGTATTCTGTGACCGATCTCACACACTGTTTCCTTTGAATTCGAGGGGACCTATTCAAAAGATCTTATCTGGGCGTTCACTGATATGTTAAGATGAAAAATCAAAAATCAAATAGTGCATGTAGAAAAATATTCCGCTTACTCGCGTACACGTCCTAAATGGTCAAAATGAGTGAAATTCACCTGCGTTTAAGACAAATTGTCTTGGGGGGACCGCCCAGATAAGATCTTTTGACAAGAACCCCTTGAATTGTGGATGGTTACCTATAAGGGTCTAGGACTTAAAAGGCTATGACCATTTGGAAAGTAAACGTTCATTCTCTCCAGTTCAGTGCCGAACGAGAACATGATACTCGCGAAATGATAACGCTACAAAGTCGACATTTCAGCTGAAAGCCGATTCCTTGCCCGAGAATCTGACTCAGAAATATAAAAATCGATTGTAACGAGGTCGTTTTGACGGGAACGACAAACACGATTCTCGTTCAGCCGTAAACGTGGTCAATGTTAAGGAGGCATTGCAATCGATTAAAACTTATTTGAACGGTGTCGAGACGAGCCTGTTTTGGATAGTCTCTGCTTAAAACTTTCTGGGTAAGCTCAGGAGCATTCCAATAAGCTGTACATGCGTTATGCCAGCGTCCCACAGCCGATGGTGTCTCGATCTCTTGTCCTTCGTCGGCCAGAACACCGGAGCAGGAGGAAATTACATTTAGTCACCGTTGTTCAAAGAACGTCACGTCATGGTTATTAAATTGCGAATTTTACCAGGTTCCTTCGACTAGAGTGACATTTGATTGAATATGCAATACAAATCCAAGGGACACACTTCTCGCCATAAGTCTCGCCAAAATTTGGTCAGGTAAAAAAGTCTTACCACAAAATGGTCGGACACAAATGTCTCTAAATGGCGGGCTTTTGTGTCTGACCGCCACCCAAAGCCGTTTTGCGCCGGACGGTTACAGTCTAAAGACCATGGTCAGACCATTTTGTGGCGAGACTTTTTTGACTGACCAAAATTTTTGGGGGACTTTGTCTCGCTGTCCGCCGTTTGGGGCGCGAGGTCTTTCCATCCAATTTGCAGTCTGATGTCACATTCGTTAAAATGTTAGTCCACGTTCAATGTGACATCCTTAAAAAGGGCCCTTTTTACTGTCAACATTTACATTCCAGCGCAAGAGGAATTAGCTCCAGCCAAATTTTTCACCGAAATTCATCAAACATGTAAAATTCACCAAAAAATTTAAAAAACATCGAAATTCGACTGAAATTCTCCGGAATTTAACTGAAATTCATCGGATATAAACACCGAAATTCGCAGTGATTTACCCTTGTTTCAGCGAACGCCACGTCACATTCGTCAAGCTTCGCTGGAAACGGACAACCTTTAAGCGGTTGTTGAACATGGCAACGACGAACGCCGCCAGGCTTCGGGTAGCCTTTCTCTTATCGTGCTGCAAATTCTGGGCGACGTTAAAAAGTGGGCGTTGTCAATCCAGCCCCCGCGAGAACTCCATGACGCCCCGTTGGCAGGCCCTGCCAACAAACATCCCGAGTTTTCAACTTGGGCAATTAGTGAAAACGATTTCGAAGGCTAGGGAAATTTCCCCACACAAGTGAAACGCAACACGCAGACGCACGACCAAGTATTCCGGATCCCCAATCGGGGTAGGCTTCATCATCGCTCAGCCCAAAAATTTTTTGCCTCCCTTGCCAAAAAAAAACTGCAACAGATTTTCGAAAATTCCTACCTCTCTTTGGGGCCCCAAAAACCCCCCTTTTTTTTCCATCTGCAGCTTCCCCCCCCCCCCTCTTCGATTTTCAAATAAAAAGGTAAACTATTTCAACCAT